CCCCTTCCCATCCCCCTCCTCACACCTCCTCCCCCTCCTCCTCCTCCTCAACCTCCCCCTCCTTCCTCACTCCTCCTCCTCCTCCTCTTCCTTCCTCCTTCCTCCTCCTCCTCCCCTTCCTCTTCCTCCTTCTCCTCCCCATTCCCCTCCTCCTCCTCCTCCTCCTCTTCCTCCTTCCTCACTCCTCCTCCTCCTCCCCCTCCTCTTCCTCTTCCTCACTCCTCCTACCTCCTCCTCCTCCTCCTCCTCAACCTCCCCCTCCTTCCTCACTCCTCCTCCTCCTCCTCCTCTTCCTCCTTCCTCACTCCTCCTCCTCCTTCCTCACTCCTCCTCCCCCTCCTCTTCCTCCTCCTCACTCCTCCTACCTCCTCCCCCTCCTCCTCACTCCTCCTCCTCCTTCCTCACTCCTCCTCCTCCTCCTCCTCCTCCTCCCTCGGCAGAAATTAACTAGGGCTGCTGTGACGTGTGATGGCTGTGTAATAGAAGTGTCAGCCACGGTGTCTCGCCGACCGAAACCCAGAGAAAATTAGTCCACGCTCTCGCTCGCTCTCGCTACGTCGGCCATTCTGTGTCGTTATGCTCTCTCGTTCCTCTTTTTTTCGTTTTTGTTTTGTTTTGTTTTGTTTTTTTGTGTGATTGTTGTATTGGTTCCGGGTGGGGTATGTATGTATAGTGTGTGTATGTATATGTATGGGTAAGGCTGTAAGTGTGGATGTGCGTGTATTTGTCGTTTCAGCTGTATTTGTATTTATTGGTCTGTCTACTTAATTTCATATCGTCTATCTTGTTATCTTTCCGTCTGTCTGTCTATTTCTTTATCCGTCTCTATTATCAAATGTTCATAATAAAAATCGAAAAATATCGAAATTGTTATAGTCTTTTGTCTTTTATTTATAGATATTTTTTTCTCTTTCTTTCTCCTCTGTAGTTTATTTTCGGTCGCGGCTAACAACAACAATGTTCGTCTTATTGTCATTAGTATCTTTATTTTCTTTATCGTCATTACACTTATATCACTGTTGTTATCAATATTTTCTTTCCTATTGATACTATTATTGCCACCGGTATTATCATAATTATCATTATTAATATAGTTACTATCATCGTTACTGTTTTTTTTTTTTATTGTTGTTTTTTTCTTCTTCAAATGACTCGTGTTTTCTGTGCATATCTATACACAGAAATGTACAACCATTTGACGTTGAAATATTTATGTTATATATACGTGTTCAAGTGTATATAAACATGTGCTCACTGCTTGTATACGCTTGCTATTTTCCCCCGGTCGTGTTTATCAAAACAAGTGTCTGCTTGCATGTGTTTGTACCTTCAGTGTACACTATAACCTTGTATTTGACTATTTTTTTCATCCCTTTAAGATTACTGAACAGATCCTTTGTAAATCAGCTGTTGTGGTTGCATGCTGTTCGAATTCTATTAGTAAAGTTGCATTCACACGGCAACATTTAAGTATGACTTTATCCATTCGGAATTATAATACCAGATCACGTTTAAACTACAGCCAAACATGTGTTTTGAGTATGACAGTAACAACAATCGTACAGGAAACTATGTACTTTACCATGACTTTATCCCTTTTGAAAAAAAACAAAAAAAAAAACGTCCCTATGACTTTCATGCCTTTAAGAAATACAAAGTAAAAATTTCAGCCTACAATTCCTCATTTTCATAGGCCGTTCTCCTGAAGCCTAAGGTCCTTATCCACTTCACGTCAGGACCCTTCTAGTCTTTGATTAAACCTCAACTTGAACCAACTTCTTGCAAACTTCTTTCCCTTTTCTTCCTTTCTTTGAGATGAGTGATAGGACGGAAAGAGGGTGTTTGAAGGGGAGGAGGAGGAGGGAGAGAAGGAGGGGAGGGGTGAAGGCAGGGATGAGAGGAGGGAAGGAAGGGGAGGAGGGGAGGAGAGAAAAGTGGGGATTGAGAGAGGAAGAGATAAGAGAGAGAGAGAGAGAGAGAGAGAGAGAGAGAGAGAGAGAGAGAGAGAGAGAGAGAGAGCGAGAGAGAGAGAGAGAGAGAGAGAGAGAGAGAGAGAAGAAAGACAAAAATATATATAAAAACAACACACAAACCACACAGGAAGTACCAGAAACGCAAACTAACTAAACCAAACAAACACCAAACTAACCATAACACCACCACCACAATACCCCCCTCCCATCACCCCCATCACCCTCCCCCCCCCCACAAAAAAAGAACACAGAGAAATCAGAACATCAGAAATAACAGACGAAAATAACAGCAGAAATAACAGCCAGACGTCCCTCATTCTCTTCCTGCCCGCTCCCAACCTCCTTATCTGTCAGTCAAGCTTCAATGTGGATGATGAACCAAGTATTGGGTTAGCAGAGACACGCGGAGACTGACACACCATTTCCAGCCAGTTAATCATTCTCCTGATGGAGGGGAGGGGAAGAGAGGGGGGGGGGGAGAAGAGGTGAGGGGAAGAGAGGGGAGGGAGAGAGAGGAGGAGTTGAGGGGGGGAGAGGGGAGGTAGAGAGAGGATCAGGTGAGGGTAGGGAGGGGTAGGAATGGGGATGCATGGCAAGGGAGGGGGAAGAGAGGGGAGGAAGGGGTCAGGGTGGGGATGGGAAAGAGAGGGGAGGAGGAGGAGGAGGAGGAGGTGAGGGTGGGGAGAGGTAGGAGCGGAGGTGCATGGCTGAGGAGAGGGGAAGAGGAAGAGGGTAGAGAGAGGAGGAGGGAGTGAGAGTGGGGAGAGACAAGGATGCAAGATAGTTCATGACTGCTTCGTGAATGGCATGGGAGAGAAATGGGTGTGTATGGGTGAAGAGGAGGAGAAAGGAAGAGGGA